GGGAACTGGGATTAGCTGCCAGGGAAGGAAGAGGGAAAACTAGCTGGAGTGAGGGGGAAGGCTGAAATTGGCTGGGTCCTTCCTTTTTCACATCCTTGTGATAAGGTATTTAGCAGAATTTTCAGATTCCTTGGAATCTGATAGGACCATACCATAAGCACTTCTGCTATGGCCTCAACCTTGTGACCCCTGGGCTTTCAACCATGCACCTTAGGACCCGCAACACCCCACTGGCTGGGTAACGAGACAGGAATGCAGGGTGGAAGGAGACAAAGACTGGATGAGGAGTCTAGGAGGAGACTGGGGCTGTCCAAGCAAGCAGAGTAGGACTGAGGACTAGTAGGATAGTAGAGATCACCCTGAGACCAACAAGTTACAAGGCCACAATTGGAACAAGGAGCCAAGGGAATGGGCACTGAAGCTGGATGAGAAGCCCAGGAATGGGTACTGGGACTTGAAGATGGTGAAAAGGAGGACCCTGCTGGGGAAATAGAGGAAAAGGTGAAAAAAAAAAAGATGAGATGGAAAGGGAATTGGTCTTGGTTGGAGGAATAGATTAAACAAGGATCAACCACTAAAGAAATAGGGATGGTGGGACAAGGATACTGGGACTGTGTGTGGGAGAAAGATTAAGTCAGGAAGTACAAAGAGCAGACTCACATGCTGGGTGAGCCTGGGACAAGGATCCTGAGGTGGAGAAGTAACAGGATTGGGGCAGGGCAGGTTGAAAGAAATAGCCTGCTTGGTGGAAATGAGCAGAAGAGTCTGTGCCCACAGCACACGCTCCCCTCTGAAGCCTAGAAAAGAATTCACTCCAAGTCTCCCCAGCCTTCAACTGTCAAATACCTGGAAACTCCTCTGGCAAAGTGCATGTCTCATTCCCCCCTGGTGCTGGTCTACAACCTTTTATTGCAATTAACTACTCCATTAGCTCAAGTGGCAGAGATCTGTGTGGTTGAGAAAGAGCTTTCAACCTTGCTGATGCATACCAGGGATGTCAATACGATGCCATGTGATGGCGTTTGTTTCTTGGTTTAAAACTGCACAGTCATCTTTAACTCTACTTGAGTGCTTGACTGCAAGATTAATAGTGTTCTTATACTGTGGCTGTGTGTATATATGTATATAGCATCCAACTGATTTAAAGTTAATTACTTGCTAAATTAAAAATGGATTCAATAAAATCTAGGCATAAATTGAGGTTGTGTGCCTTTGGTCCCAAGTTAATTAAACCACTTGGCCATTGCACCCTTAGCTAAAGCAGTACAACTCTGTAGACAGGGCCTAAAAGATTTGTGTTGGGAGGGTCAGATGACTCCACAGTGGGATGAAAGTGCAGGTAGAATCCCTTGTTCCCTCACCATCTTCCTGGCTCTTGGTCCAGCTGGGACATTTCCTTTCCTAATGTTCTTCTCTTCCGGTTCCACTGACATACATTTTTCCCTCAAATTAAAATGAGAGTACTGCAGGCAGCCATCTCATTCTGGGATTGTAGAACTACCCCACAGATGCTTGTAGACCGAGGAATTAGACTCCTCAGGAGATAAGTGCTTCATTGGCAAGGATTCTGGCCAGATCATGTGTCATTACATCTAGACAGTCCCCACAGGCAAAAGAAGGGCTAACCATTTTGTCCATTGACTAAAATGTGAATAACACATGCTTAGTGCCTCTGAAAATCCAGCCCTTTGGTCTTGTTTCTACGATTGGAAGGTTGCAAATACGGCTGCAGGTACTTCAGGGACTGACATTTCTTTCCCTCCATCAGTGTCAAATTTGCCAATCCTTTTTTTTTTTCAATTATGTGTTTCAATTTTATTTTGTTAATAATAAACAGCAGACTCCAACTATCCTGAAGGTTTTCTCTGTTTGTACAGATGTAGTTAGTGGGGAAAGCATCAGAGATGGCAGCAGAGACAATGTAACACAGGTCTTGGGTTTTATAGGATCAATAACACTTATTGCGAGTTGTATACTGCTCTTTGTACCACCCTTCAGCATAATGATTAAGTTTTGGAAATTCAGGAGTGCAAGGTCTAATAAAGGTCATACACCTTTGGGATATCCTGACTGCTAGTAGCTTCTCCCAGCCATTTCACAAAACAACTTTGAAAATATAGGGATAGTTGGAGGGCGGGGATAATGTATATTTAAAATTCCTTCCACACAAGAACCACCTGGCAAGTATTTAAACAGCAGCTTTGGATTTTGCTGCAATTTTGGGTCGTCGTCCCCCCCCCATGTAACTCCCATGTGACTGGATTTGGTCTTTTAAAAACAGGGAGAGAAAAAAAAAAGGATGGATTTAAAAAGAAAAAAAGTATGACCCATTTCCCCTCTAAATACAGGTCTCTCTCCTTTTCAACTGCTGTACCTCACAGAACACTGATCTGTGGATTCCTTTTCTTAAAAGGAAGCTATTGAATATATTTTATTCATTAGGAAATCTTTTTCCTTCCTTACTTCTTGATGAGCCCACTAAGCATGTTTACACCCAGATCCAGCAAAAACACACTCAAAAACTGTGCTCATGATCTAGTCTAGATCTTTCCAGAAGCTTTAGGAAACGTAGGATCAAATCTTGTAAAAGCAGGCTGTAGAGCTCCTCATAAAATCTGTCTCATATTAGTTTATGCACATGAGTAAGTCATTTTGTGAGAAAAGGTCTAAGTATATACATACCGCCAAGAACTGGAAAGGATTCCCCTGAAACAATTTAAGATATAATGGACATGTCTACCTGTCCATTTATGCTGGCTTAAAGTTACTGTGCAGTAAGTCAGAATAGGCCGGCATCTACATGTGCAGGCATTAAAGTGCATTAACACTGAGTATGGAATGACTTGGGACTAATGTTAGTCTCAAGTCAGTCCACGCACAGTGTTAATGTGCAGTAAGGCATCTACATGTGCATTATGGTGCAGTAACTAATTGATGCATGATGCAGGTATCAAATTTATGCCCAAGTCAGCATAAGTAGCCATATTTACTGAGCAGTATGAGCATGCACGTGTAGACATGCACCTATACAACTCAGTAATGTCATTTACTGCGCAGTAAATGTGCATATGTAGACATGCCCACTGTATTGCATTTTCCATGTGTTAATTTGTTTCATCCTGTATCATGGTACATAGTTTCTTTTCAATTGTCATTTGTCTCACTTTCTCTTTCATACGTCACTGTCAAGCACAACAAATACAAAAATGCACAAACGTGCGATTTATAAAGCTTCCTTGACTTCCATTTATATTATAACCTGTGATGTGATGCTTGTGTTTAATCAGCTCTCTCTTTCTTGACATTTAATTTCTCTTTTTAAAAATCACTTTATGTTTGTTCATACAGTTATAATGACTGGGTTCTTTCCAAGATTATGTAAATAATTGTTTATGGAACTGTAAAAGAAAAAAAAATCATGATACTGCATCATTGTGATTGTTTAATCACAAAAGCAAACAAGCTAGACCTGCTTCATGCTATGAGTCATACTAATTAATGCATAAATAACATTGCAATCATAGTGCATTATGATCACATACATACTGTAAACACCTGGTGTAAAACTTGAAAAAAAATTGGAATGGAGATTTAGTGCATTAAATCCAGAACTGTCACAAAAAAGTCGAGTCACCAATAGCTATATAGCAAGAACAAAATTTAGCATCTGAAGAGAAAAAACTTCTCAAATGTGAATGCTTCTCAAGCCCCTCTGGATTCCCAGCTGAAAGCTATTAGCAATTAGAGTTTGCAGTCACTCTGTCTTTTAGCTCCACTTCATCCTCAACAGAGGCACTAACACAGGGGTGGGCAAAATGCGTCCCGCGGGCCCAATGTGGCCCGCCAGGCCATTCCATCCAGCCCGCAGGACCCCTAAAAAATTTAGAAAATTAATATTTATCTGCCCCTGGCTGCCTGTCTTGCGGCCCTTGATGGCTTGCCAAAACTCAGTAAGCAGCCCTCCGCCCAAAATAATTGCCTGCCCATACACTAACACCCCTGACTGAGGCCAAAACCATAGATATTTGTCATGTAAGCATCCATACAGGTCTACTTAAGCAAAGCACCCCCATAATTTCAGTACTGGCCAGGATATTCTTGTGCATGAAACATAATAAAGACAACGGACCTTTTTTCATGGTTGACCCAGATACCCAGAGAGAAAGGTGGTGTTGGGGGAGGGGGGGGGGTGTCACACTGGCTCACAACACAAGATTGAAATAGGCACATATACACACCCTAAAACAAATTGTGGATGCTTGATGTGATGTCCACAAGACACTAAGTGGAGAAAAATAAAATTCATCTACAAGTCAGCCAATTATCAATTCCCTAATTTACAGACAAAACATTAGATTCTTACAACACAGTTTTATGAAGGTACAGCCCGTTATCACTTTCATTATTTCACTGACAGTATTGTCTCTCTCTCCCTACCATTTCTCTGTTATCTTTTATAACAGAAGCTCTTTGAAGCAGGGACCATATTCTGTTTTAGGTTTGGAAACTCACCAAACCCTATGGGAATTAACAGAAGCAAAGCAATAAGTATTCTTCTCTGGTATTTCTGCTGTATGTTTGAAAGTTCTCTCCTTTCTCTGAACTAGTTTTCTTCCAAACACAAAGTTAGCTACAGTACAATCCTTGGTATCCCATGTTGGGTTATGCGGCATGGGGAATACATTTTTGTAATCTTTTGTCATTGTTAGTTAGAGGTGATGCAGATTTCTGGGTCATGGGAAGAACTGAAGTAGATAAATGAAAACATTTCTTCCTGTAAATAGCCTGGGGACATTCCTGCATCCCATGCCCTGGAGCTACAGAAGCAAGTCACACTCAGGTGAGGTCACCTGAAGCATTCCAAGCCCTGGGACCTTTTGTGGCAGTATTTATTGTAGCAACAGGACCTGGCAACTGCCAGAGTCCCTAGTGACTGCTTGGCCAAGCTCCTAAGGAAGATTTTAGAGTAGAGTTACCTTCTGGAGCTTCAAGCAAGCAAGAGGAGTAGACTGGTTACAGTCTCATCATGGGCTGCAGTACTTCCAACACGGTTGATGAAGTGCAGCCATCAAACAAGGAGTTGCAGAGCGGCCAGGAAGCCAAGACCCAGGTAACAGATTTCCTGAGCAGACAACAACAAAGCATAACAAAAGATGTTTGTACAGGCAGAGAGATGGACTTCCTTTGTGGAGCTCTTAACACAGAGTAGGGCTGAGAAATCACCTAGACTTGTATGCCTTATACACTGTTGTAGGGGTTATTTATAAGCAATGCTTTTTATAGAGAATGGAAGTGGGGGGAGGGGGGGGTTGTTTGTTTTAAATGGTCTTCCTCACTCCCTTTACTAAGTGGGCCAGAGCTCCTCAAACTGTATGTTTAACATGAAAGATGAATTAATGTGTAGGCTATTGTGGGGTTCTCCCTTTTACTCAAGAGTTTGGTTTTTGATCTTACCTCTCGGGTAGCCTGACTTGAGCACTTCTGCATTTTAAATCCGACTCTCGCCCGCCACGCTAATTCGATGTTATCAGTTGGGAGCTGTTACTAACGCAGAATGACTCCAGCAATATAGATAGAAATGTTTTCTTTTTCGATTGATATCTTGCTTCCAGCTCTTCTGGACAAACCCCAGACTCCTTATCACTAAGAAAATCCAAATTTTTTATGCGGTCAATCAAATTACTTTATTGTAAAACAAAACCTTTTTTTTTTAATGCTTTTATTTATCAATTTCCCAGGACACATTGTTGCATTTATTTAATGTAAAACAACATGCATAAAATTAGGTAAAGTCAACTATTTGTACTGTTTATATTTTCCTTTTATTAAACGACAAAGAAACTTCCTTCAGTCTCCTGCTTCTTTTCTCCTCTTTTTTTTTTTTTTGGCTCCTAGAGCACAATTGGTCCAAATCCAGATCCCAAACGAGACCGGGGAGACAAAACAGAAAAAAAAAATGAACTTGACCTTAATTACCACCGGTGGGAATCCGCCGTTGTTCTTTTTTTCTTTGTTTGTTTTTCTCGCAGCTTCTGCTGCGCCTCTCTCTTCTAGACGAGTTGACTGTTCTCGCTTCTTCAAGGGCTCCCGGTTTTCCCTTCCTGTTGAGTCCTTCTCGTTCAGCTAGAGCTGACTCTCAAGACTCCTCCGTCCCAGTCTCCGCACCACGGCTCCTCTCCTTTCCGATCTCCATTCACTCTTATCTTTTTAGCGTGCCATGCCCCCGCCGCACCACCGCCTCCCAACTTCAAATAGCAGCTGCTGCGGAAGTGCCTCTTTTCCGGCGTGGTCTCAGTCCCCGTTTCCCCTATCTCCTTTTCCTCCTCACACATCCTCCCCCTTCAGATGCCATTAGGTGCCTTTATTTTTTCCAGCCCCTCATGGTCCTCATGGTGGTCACCTCCAGTGATGTCAGTCTTCATCGAGGAGCCTTCGTTTGAGTGACAATGGGAGAGGAAGTCAGTCACCACATTGGCACAACCCGGTCTAAATTCAATATCAAAATGAAAGGGTTGTAAGGTGAAGGCCCAACGGGTTATCCATGCATTATCAGTCTGAGTGTTTTTTAGCCACTTCAACGGGACATGATCCATTATTAAGGTGAACTTGTGTCTGTCCTAAGAGGTAGTAGCAAAAGTATTCCACCCCCCATTTAATGGCCAAGCACTCTTGCTCAATTGTGGTGTACCTTTGTTCCTAGGGTTGTAGTTTCCTACTGGCGTAGGCAATAGGACGCTCCACTCCATCCATCTCTTGTGTTAATACTACGTCCATGGCTTTGTTGGATGCATCTGTTTGTAGGACAAAAGGACGGTTGAAATCTGGAGTGTGAAGCACCACTTCCTTACACAAGGCCTGTTGCATTTGCCTGAAAGCTTCTACATGTTCCTCGCTCCACCTGAGTGGCCTGTTACCTCTTCCCTTTAGTAAGTCCGTCAACAGGGCAGTGACTTCAGCAAAATGTGGAATGAACTGGAGGTAGTAACTGGCTAATCCTAGGAAGGCCCTCATTTGTTTCCACATTTGGGGTGCCATATAGTCTCGGATCGCCTTTAACTTGTCTGTTAAAGGACTAATACAACCCTGACCTACCAGGAAACCTAAATACTTAGTCTCGGCTTTCCCTAGTGCGCATTTTCTGGGATGCGCCATCAGACCAGTTAAGCATAACTCGTGCAGGACTGCACAGAGGGCTTCTAAATGTTGCTCCCAGTCATCAGTATAAATAATGATATCGTCTATATATGCTGCCGCATATCATTGGTGTGGGGCTAGGACCCAATCAATCAGCCGTTGGGACGTTGCTGCAGCTCCATGTAAACCAAATGGCATGCATTTAAATTCATACAGCCCTCATGGTGTCCCAAAAGCTGTTCTGGCTTGATCTTCTCTTTGCATGGGTATTTGTCAATATCCTTTAGTCAAATCCAGTATTGATATGAATTTTGCCTGTCCAAATCTCTCTAATAATTCACTAGTTTGTGTCATTGGAAAAGCATCAAACGTTGAAATCTCATTCAATTTTCTGAAGTCTACGCATAGCCGTAGAGTACCATCTTGTTTGGGTACTACTACAAGGGGGCTCCTCCACGGACTATGGGATTCTGTTATTATTCCCTGAGACAACGTCTTATCTATCTCCATCTTGACAACCTCCTATCGGTGATATGGAATTCTCCTCCATTTTTCTCATACCACTCGTCCCTCGGGAATAACCATGTTGTGACCTATTCCCTTCACGGAACCAGGATTCTTGTTGAACACATCTGTGAACTCCTGTATGAGGAGTGTTAATTGTTCTTTTTGTTCAGTAGTCAATTAGTCTCCAAATTTTACCCCTTTATTTGTTTCGCTTTCGCTCTGAAAACTAATGGATTTTTGCCCTAAATGCGGTGGCTCTCTGAGCATGGTCACCAATAGTCCTTCTGGTTCACTCCACGGTTTCAACAAATTAACATGAAAAGTTTGTTTTTCTTTCTTAAAGCCTGGATGTAGTATCTCATAATCAACAGGGCCAATCTGTCTAGTTCTTTGGAACATCCCTTGCCAACACGTAAAAAATGTACTTGTAGCACTAGGTAGAAGAACCAAAACTTTTTGCCCCTTGTGCAATTCCCTTTCTTGAGTACCTTTATCATAGTAAGTTTTTTGTTTCTCTTGTGCTTGTTTAAGATGATCTCTGGCTACCTCTCCAACCCTTTGTAACCATCTCTTTAATTCTCAGACATATTCTGTTGCTTGTGTCCCTTGGGATCCCCCATTCTCCCAGCCTTCTCACACCACATCCGTCAGGCTCCTTCACTGATGTCCATAAACTAGTTCAAATGGAGAAAACCCTAAGGATGATTGTGGTTATGGTTAGGCAGGTAGGTTATATTAACAAGCTGTTTCTGATCTCAAGTATGGTACATGTACATGCAAACATTATGGTGCATAACTGCACACATCTGTTTTGAGTGGTGAGGAGGCACTGCAGGATTCAACAATGGACTGGCTGCTATACCCATTCTGATTAGCTACTTGCTGTCATATTTCACTGGGCCTCATGCACATGTTCCACATGGAGGACTTCTGAGTTACCTTTGTGCAACTGTCTTTAGAGGATTTATGTTCCATCTCTGAAATAAAAAAGGAAGGAAGTTGCAAAAATTTCCTGTGCTATCATCCTCTGGTTAGAAAAGGGGCACGTGCACAGAAAAGTGGAACTACAGTACATGTTGGGGGAAAGACTATTCAGTTCCAATCATAGCCATGTAACCAGTCTTGTCAGTGTGAGGGGCAGCATCATGGTCTAGCTTGTCAGAAACAAGCACATTTGCTTGAAATAAAGTTGAGAACACAGTCATAGCCCTCTATATAATTAAACAGTGGTGGCCAGTCTTTTTGGCAGGTTCCCAACAGGTTAATCCTCCCTCCCTGCAGAGGCATACCTGATAGACATTGCACTCTGAGACACCAAAATAAAGGCATAGGGCTTGAGCTACCAGCATACAGCCACATGGAGCAAAGCAGGAGCAGGACACTTCTGCAAGTGGAGATTCACTATTGAAAGCCAGGTTAACCCAACCCTGGCCACATGACAGGTTGTTTGATGACCAAAGCTCTGAATTCAACAGGGACTGCAGGGCCAGTGAAGGGTCTTGGAGGTAATAGCTGACACCTCCTCTCACAGCAGTCCTGCCCCACTCTGCTCTATGGATCTCTACCCTACCTTTATTCTGGTGCCTCCCTTTACTGAGCGCCCAGGACTTGCCTACCACACACACAAAGCAGCTGTCCCTGTGCACCATGGATTAGACACCCCCATATGCCTCATGGAGGCTACAACTGCAAGCACAAAAAACATGTTTATCATTATCACAACTTCCAACCCATTTCCCAGCAATTACAACATTTATTTAGAGTTGTTTCAAAACCTCAGATTTTCATCTAATTTGGTAAAGGACATATCCAGGGTTAAAAGGTCATTGCTTCCATTCTCAAAGTGGCTCTTAAGGAAGGATTTTATCTCCCTAACCAACAATTTGTGACAGAACATAACTAACTGTCAGGTCATCACTGGAGCAGCGGCAGATGTAGCTGTAACTTTGCTCTGCTCAGCTTTAAACCTGCCAATTTTATAGGGCTATTTTAGACATAAATGCAGCTAATTTCCACAAGGGCCTCTCTTGCTTGCTCATTTATTTATTTATTATTTATTTATGTTTCAGGCTAAGAATGACATGCCTCCGAAAGCAGCTGCTTCCATCTTTCAGAAAGGACAAGGTGGGTCAAAGGGCACCTCACACAGTAGAGCAACACTCAAAGATGGATTTAGTAGAGGATGGTTACCTGGAGAAGTTCCAAAAAAGGCCAACATCTCTTAGTTAAAGAAATAATGGGCAGACAGCAAGTAGTCAAACAGAGCTCATACCAATTGAGAAGGAAGGAGATCAGAAAAACTCCACTTCAGAGTTTGTTTGCTGCAAAAAACTGTTAAACTGTAGCATTTAGACACCTTAAGTGTTTACAGTACCAAGCCCTTAATCACTAGTTCAAATCTAGGCCAAGTTAGTTGCAGCTTAAATTCATTCCTATCTGATGACTTATTCCCTCTCCTTCCCCCATGCGCCCCCTACCCCCGCCACACCATGACTCAGTTCTCACTATCACAATGTGCAATCGTTTTCACTCCTCTTGGGAGGCTTCTCCATTGTGCTTCAGAAAGCAAACCTCAACTTTATTCCTAACAAAAATCCCTCCCAGTAACAGTTGGGAAACATAAGCAAGGCAGTATGAAACTCACTTCACCTTTTTAGGTCCTGTTCTGTTCTGTGGTTAAGCTGAGAGGGGTCTTCAAAATAGGGTCTGTCCAACAATTTTCACCAGCATTAAATCCACGCTATAAAAGTCAGGGTTCTCAACATTTTTCCTACTGGGACCCAATTGCAAAGATTCATGGCCTGTCCTGAGCCACACCCCCCTAGTCCTGCTGGGACCCGACTCCCAGTCCCCTGCCCTCCTGGGCCATGCTAGTGTCCCTCATTCCTGACCTGCAGTCCCCTGCCCCCCATGTGCTGGAGGGAGGAGGAGTGGCCTGTGGTACCTCCTCTCTAATCTGGGTTGGGGCTCCCATGCTGTGCCATGCCAGGAAGCCTGGTCATGGCCCCTTTCACACCCTGAGCAGCGTCTCCCGGCTGCCCCACCCCCACGAGCACAGGCACCAGCCCTGGTGCCACCACACTGCTCTCCTCGACCCCCTTCCCCCACTGGAAGGGGCAGGTGTCTTCCCACTGCCCCTCTGCAGCTTGGGACCCTTTGAAATATTCATGCAACCCACTTTTGGGTCACAACCCATAGGTTGAGAAATGCTGCTATAAGTAAGCACAAGATTAAGGAATAAAGTAACAGTAAAAAGCAACAAAGGGTGAATCCTCAACTAGCAAAAACTGTATAGTCCAAGGCAATGTAGCAATGACCAGGTTGTATTGTGTAAACAGAATTTCTAACTTTGACCTTTTTCTAAGTTTAATTTTAGTAGTAGTACAAGTCTATACTAAACATACTAGTAAATATTAACAAAACTTATTTACTTGGTACAACCTCTATTTTCCTAATTACTGTGAACATTTTGAATTTCAAACAAACTTAGTAAAACTGAAATCCACTGTGATTTTGTTTGTTTCATCCTAAACAAGAGAAACAAACACTGGAGTTTGCTACTCTTTAAAAATGACTTGAAGTCCATTGCCATGACTTGAGTTCTCATTCATTAGAGTAAGGAACCTGTATTAGTTTGGGGAAGAGAGACTGAACATATGAATGGATTGTGCTGCAGTTTTACATGTGCATGAATACACACATGCACAGGCAGATGTAGGATTTTGAAGAGGGAGGTGCAGATGATGTGGCACATTATCACATATAACATGACACATTTTTCTCCAGTTAAAGAGAAACTAGATGCTTTACTAATATGCTAGGGGCCATCGCTACATTTTTCATCTTAAGATCAAAGCACAAACAAATATAACTTTATTGGAAAGTGCACTGATTTGCTAGACTATGTTGAAAGTTAAAAAGAACAACTAGGCAAAAATAAGTCAAAAGATACTACATTGTGGACATGTCTACATGAGACATTTACTGAGGAGCTGCCTAATTAGCTCCACTATAAATGTCTCAGTGTCTACACATTCAGCCCTATTACGCCACAGTAAACCAATAAACTTTACAGCAGGTTAGTACTTGTAAATACAAGTACCATCCAGCTGCATAGTTTTTCATGCATGGCAAGTGCTCTCAGTCTGGCTATCTTGAATCAAAGGCTCACCAAGGCCATAGTTCAACAGTGCACTTAAACGTCTACATATGCTTAAATGTTTTTCTAAAAGGTGCTCCTGGGGGTTCAGCTGACCACAGCATGGAATTCATCCCTGTGCAGGAATCCAGCACAAAGTCAATGCACAATTTTAGGCCACTTAGAAGTGTAATGTTCAGTTTAGACAGTGCATGAGGCTTTGCGGAGATACTCTGCATTGGGCAACCTCAATCACACAAACAAGCAGAGGACTGTAAGGGATGCCAAAGTTAAATTGACCACTTGATCTGAATGCTGTGTGAGTAATCATCTTAACCATTTTCTCTTTAAAGACATCACATTAGTCAGCAGTGGATTTATCAATAAACAAATGCACTTACAGGAGCGGAAAAGGCAAGAGTCGTCAGAAATTCTTGAGGAGCTTAAAACACAGGGAATCATTAAGGGCCAAAGCACACCTTTTGGAAATGAAGATGCACCTGATAACATGGTAAGTGTCTTAGGGCACTGTTTTTTTCTAATGGCCAGATTTGTAAAAATAAAAAATGCACTGAGTGTTGAATCTGTGCATACAGATACTAGTTCATTGCAATTACTGTGCCTCAAGGGTAAGCACTTTGCAGGACAGGCACTTCACTGCCTGAGGAACAAGAGGTTAGATAGCAGATAAACAAATATCTTTGTAGTGCATTTAATGCAAAAGAAAAAAGAAACTGCTCACAAGTTTCATTTCTTTCAGGTGGTCCTCAATGACCAAAGTTGATTGCCCATTGCTAAAATAGCCACTGGAAATTGTTATCCATGTGTGTACATCTATCTCTATCACTCCCACCCACCCTTCCCTTGCAGAGTTTTTGTTTAAAAAAAAAATCATATGCACAAATATTGCAGAAGTTAATGTATAGCTCCTACTTTCAGTCTTGCAGTATTTGGAGTTTATAATTCCAGTTAATCAAGATACTTGGGACTCTTAGCTACTTGGGCATCTCCAATTCATATCTGTGTCCTTACCCAAAAAAATGTTTAAAAAAATTAAATTAATCTTTATGAAGCCAGTATTTAAACAAAAAATGGTGTCACTAGTTTAGAAATTAGAGAAAAATGCAACTAGAAGTTACTGAATTTAGCTGTATTGAGTATGTTTGGTGGGATGTTTTGGTACCTGCAGAGTTGTTTTTTGCTGTCTCTCACAGTTCTAGGGACTAGAGGGCTCCCAGAGACAAGACTCCTGAATATCCAAACATAAGGGTTAAGTACAAACAGTCAAAAAGCCCAAGCTGAATCGATTCAGTCTTTGCAAGTTAGTCTCAACTGCAGAAATTAAACTGAAACAGAACTGAACAGACATTTACCTTCCAGTCAGGAAATTCAGCCACATGCCTGCAGTGTTTTAAGCCAGAAGCCAGGGGGTGCTAGAGCCTGGCTCTCTGGCATGTAACCAGCATAGGCTGTTTGCTCATTTCCTCTTCCTGCTGCCCCTGAGGTATCTGGGATTTGTAGCCCAGAATCACAGTAAGAGGGCTCTCAGGGTTGCTCATCACCTCCTCTTCCTGCTTCCAGGTTCTTCTGGGATTTGTTGTCCACAGTCACAGCCAGCAGTGAGTTTGAGCATTTTTAAGGAAAGGCTAAAATAAATGTATGTGATGGTTAAGCATCTTATTATTCATCATTTTGTGTATGCATGTCATCTCTATAGAAAGAGACTCCCTAGTAAATCAGGAGGTAATCAGAAGAAATTCTTATTTCCTCACTCCTTTCTCCCCCCCCTCCCCATACTAAGTCATTCTCTATACTGTGAGGTCAAAGTTATGGTCCACAGAGCCCTATTAGCAGGCCTGCAATGCTGCCTGGGGGGGTCTTAGACTGGATCCACACTCTTCATGTGGCACACTACTCATCTACATGCGTAGGCCCTAATGAGTTTAACACCCCTCCTCTATACCATTTGCAGGACTTGACTGTAATTTTTTTCTGGGACCGAGGTCTAATTTGCAGAGATATTTGTGAACTGTGTCTAGGGGCTGGGAACTGGATACAGACTTCCACCTCTAGGGCCCTTGTTTGTCATCAGTGCGAGAGGCAAGGATTTTTTTTAGGGTGATATATTTTATTGGACTAACAGTGTAGTTGGGATAACGTTAAACAAGCTTTCAAATGCAAGGTATTCTTCATCACTCTTACACTACCTTTGTCATCAGCGTGATAGAAACTTATCATTGGTAGGGACCTACCAAATTCATGGCAGAAGTAGAGTGCACGGAGGCTCCTTTAATTTGGCATGTTCCCCCGTGCGCACCTTGCCCCTTTTCCCCCCTTGCTGCTGATTAGCGGAGGACCCCTCCACTCCCTCCTGAGCAGCAGGGAAGCTAAAACCATGGTTTAAACATGGCATTGTTTTTGCACCTCCCGCCAGTCAGCACCAAACAGCATGGCCATCTGGGCCCCCTCAGCCAATTGGTGGCAGGAGGTGAAAATGCTGTCATATTTAAAACCACAGTTTTTGCCTCCCCGCAGATCAGGAATGAGCTGCAAGCAGGGCCCCTCCATCAATCAGCAGGGGCAGGAGGGGAGGGAGTGAGGGAACTTGCAAGATTAAAGGAGCTACAGTACACCCCACTTCTGCCATGAATTTGGTAGGTCCCTAATTATTGGACATCTGTTAGAGAAATGGGTTACCAGTCTCCATCCAGTTTCCCCCACTACAAGATAAGCTATTACTACTGCAACAGTGAAGTCACAGATAAGGCTTACATAGGAGATCAAACTATCCTCTCATTCCAGAGAGAGGAACCTATGGAAGCAGTTTGATGCTAACCGTCAGAGCAGGGTGTGGCAGCAAAACTGCCTATTGTATGGGTCAACACTTCCATCTCCAGTGTCATACCATTGGCATAATAGAAGCACCAGGAATGGATCCAGATGGGATGCCATGATGCAGCTGTACCACCCTTGCCCTGTCCCTGGATCCACTACAGAAAGGCATTATGCTCAGCTGACCATGTCTGCTGGACTGGACTGCTGATTCAGACAGAGAAAAACCCTGCACTAAATGATTGTAAAGTTAAAACATGTTGCTGGGGTTTAGGTTGTAGCCGTGTTGGTCTAAGGACATAGGCAGACAAGTTTCCTTTGGTGAATTTGATATCTTTTATTAGACCAACCCAAATAGTTGGAGAAAAGTTACTAAGCAAGCTTTCGGGTTCAAAAACCCTTTATCAGGCTAAGGAAGTTTCAGCAGTTGGTGTGTGCTCTTCCTGGTTAAAACAAGCTTTTATGAACCTCTTATTTCTGGGCTTGAGTGTGCAGACATGCTTGCACATGATGTGCCCATGGAACCACTCTATTCAGCAAGTGCTCATCCATATGAAGGATTGCACAGCTGGGTCCATTTTATTACGGGCTATTCCTTCCAGCCTCTTACGTCAAAGCACTACCACTTAACATCCATACAAAAAAGAGGCAGGAAATCTTTCTCAGCTATTTCAGCTCATTCCAATCCTACCTAAGCCACCAGATACTGTGCTCTAATTGTTGATGTGTTTCAACAGAGAGAAGCCCTACTAAGAAAACCACCAGCCAGGCTGGAAAAGCTTGATATCAAAATAAAAGAAGTGAATGATCTGACCCTGGAGGACATTCAGAATTCTGCTGAAGAGAAAGAAAAGGTAATTTAATTCAGCAGCATCATTCTTGCCTGTGTCTTTGCCTCCTAAAAACACCCCCTGCTTAAAAAATAGCCTAGATATCAGATGTCTGTAACAGGTGCTAGCAAAACATAGCCAGGAATGTCACAGGAGTGAGCACTACACTCAGCAGTATGTCTGGAGGACTGGACTGCTAATTTGTATATACTGAAAACCAGCAGGCTTCTAGGACAAAGGGGGTGGGGGGGCCGGGGGCAGAAAGAGTTCAAGAGAAAGAGAATTGTAGAATAGTGTATTTCCATGTTCTGTAGCAAGACATGCTGTTCACAGCTGCTGCATTTATATTTTATTTCCTTTGAGCAAACTGGCTAGATTTCACATCACTTGGAGTGATGTCTGAATGATATGGAGATGGAAAGATAGGATCCACTATTAAAATATGTGTTCAAATGCAGTTTATGCCTGCTTCCTTCACTCACTACAAAGCAACGTATTCATTTTTTCAGACTGCAGAACAACTGAACCAAAGATTACAGAGTGAGAGATTTTCTCCAGCAGCTGCTCACCAAAACATAGCTCAGCTAAATGAATCCTGTTATTTAACCGCAAAAGGTGGAAAAGGGACCAACAGTAGTGAGCCTTTATCATTAGATCCAGAGGACGAAGAATCTGCAGTAGAAATTGTAAATGGCAATTTTGAAGACTTTGCTGTTGTGGAGTCAGATACAACTTATAACTGTTCAATTGAAGCATTCTAAAAAAGAAAAAAAGTTTATTTCAAATACATTCAGCTCTTGAAACAGAGGACTGAGGATTGCTTAATGAAAAGATGGTGGGGGGAACCCCAACAGAAACAAAACAAAAAGAAGGAAGAACTTCTTCACAGTTAGAGTGACCAAGGTCTGGAACAGGCTCCCAAGGGAGGTGGTGCTCTCCCCTACCCTGGGGGTCTTCAAGAGGAGGTTGGATATGCATCTAGCTGGGGTCATCTAGACCCAGCCCTCTTTCCTGCCTATGCAGGGGGTCGGACTCGATGATCTATTGAGGTCCTTTCCAACCCTAACATCTATGAATCTATGAAAAAACACATTTCTTCAGTTTAATGTGCTGGGATAGCTGCACTGCTCCCTTTTAACTGCATAAACCAAACCTTCCTTTGGTACACAGGTATGCCATTTCCTTAATTTCTGCCATGAAGAGAAGACAAACATTACAGGATCTGCTTCAAGACAATCTGTTACAAGACCCTGCTTCTTTCTCAATCTCCCTGCTCTTGATTAAGACAGCTGGCCACCTTAGCAGTCAGCACCTCAGTGAAGCGTACAGTCAGCATCCCCATCCTTGTTCTAAGATCAAACACTAATCATCATTCAGTATTAGCCAAGACCAGCAACCTAGGTCCTGCCACATGCTCTGTGCTAAAGCCTCGCACTGAAGAACCTGATGCGGGGTAGGGTAGGCTGCTACTGTTCATGATGATGATGATGATGAAATGATACTTGCTGTCGGTACTTACTGAGTAGATATCCACAGATTCTTCACCTGGTTATCGGGGCCAAACTCCCTTCCACCTTCTTTCTTGGACATACATCCTTGTGCAAGATCCTCCCTGCAGCTCTCCCTCTTAAAAACTTGCTGGAGTTTTTTTCCCCCTCAGTAGCTAATTAGTCACAGGTTGAAGCTAAGCCAGGAGTGGGCAACTATTTTGGGCAGAGGGCCGCTTACTGAGTTTCAGCAAGCCATAGAGAGCTCTATGACAGACAGCCCAGGGCAGATTAATATTAATTTTTAAAAAATTTTAGGGGCCCTGCGGGCCAGATAGAATAGCCTGGCAGGCCACATCTGGTCCTTGGGCTGCATTTTGCCCACCCCTGAGCTAAGCCCAACTCCCTTAAAGGGCCATCAATTCTCCCCTGTGACAACAGGCTTACAACCCAATTTTAATTGTGACAAAATAGGATCATCATGACCCAAGTCCTTACAGCATAGCTTTGATGTTTTCATTAAAGTTACATTTTAAACTAGCTGGCTTCTTTGAAGGCTACCTGCAAAGATTTCAGTGAGAAGTTGGTGGCTTGGCAAACAGATGTGAAAGGAAGTCAACACATTAGGGCAATATGGAAACATGGAGGAAGGAGCCAGAAACTAAAGGACAAAAGTTATGGCTAAGAGAGCTCTAGGTTAGTCCAATTGAATGGGAGAAAAGGCCAGACTAGGTTAGGGCCCTGATAAGCAAGATGTTTGAACTTGAGGTGCAGGATGTGGGGGAGGTGGGGATGGTCCAGAGAAGGGATTTGGATGGTAGGCATACCATGGCTTGAAGCACAGAAGATGGTTTGGGGGCAGAACCCTGCCCAGACTGGAAGGAAGCAGTGTGAGTGTGAAGAGCATTAGAAAGAGGCTTCTTGGGTTTGGGGATAGTTAGGGCACAGATAAGTAATCTAGCTGCTGCCATGAGAAGGAGAGAGGAACATTGTTCCATTTTTATTGCATCTGGTAGTGGAGGGAGGTTTGGTACTCACCTGAAGAAGCAGTGTTGCCCAATTCAAGAAATCCACAAATGTGAATCAGACCCAAGAACACTTGAAATTTTTGTATAGCTGGGGGGGGGGGGGGGGGGGGCAGAGAAACTGTAATTTAATTTGAGGGCTGTATTTTGATTTTTTGAATTCGTCCTGCCTATGCACAGTGGTGGCATTTGTGTGGGAGATAGTTGGTGTTACCAGTTTTCCTAAATTTACTGAGATGTGATTTCTGGTCCTTTGCTCCCCTGCTCAACAAATTAATGCAATTCCCAAACTCCAGATCAATTCTGTTCTCTCAGCCTTGTATCAATCCTGACCACCCACACATCAGTACCTACTTGGCCTTCATCAGTTCAACCTATCAGTCTTCACCTGCTAGAACTCTTTACCCCTCTCTTCTCCCAGGCCACAGAGCAGATGCAGTGAGAGGCTCTTTTTCTCTCTTGCTCACTGAGGGGGAACAATTGCTGCAGGGTTCCCTTCTCCTGTGAGGCACACCAAGCATTGCAGGAAGATGAGCAGAAGCATCCTGAGCCACTGGGCATTTTCTTCTCCTCTTGAGTTGCTGAAGGAATAAGGAAAAACTTTCCCTGCTTCACAAGCAGTCTGACTGGCTGATGTTGTCAGTACTCAAAGTGGGCAAGTGAGGCAGGAAGCCAATTAAAAGAGACTTTCCCACCAGACCCATGCCAGCCCAAATCCTTTCATGAAATTGTAAGACCTGGCACCACTATGAAAGAGTTGAAGATTGCCTCTATGTTGTCTGCATGGAGTGCCAGGATGGTGAGAGTTTCAAACAACAAAGGACAATGGTAGCAATCCTGGGGGACTTGGGAAGAATGAAGAGCTCATTTTACATCCTCTTGATCCCAGCTGACAGGATGCCATCCAATTGCAGGGGGAAGGGGGTTGGAGAACAGGGGTGGGCAAAATATGGCCACAGGCCATATCTGGCCTGCTAATTGAGCCTATCCGGAGTCTGAGGAGGGAGGGCTTAGCCCTGTGCCACTCTTCTCTGCTGAAGCTGGGGCTAGGCTGGGCTGTACAGCATTCAGACTCCTCCATGCCCCACATCAATTCCCCTACAACCTGGCTTCCTGTTGGCACTTCAGCTGCACAGTCCTGACTGCAGCTGCAGGCAGCTGGGCCCCCTTGGGACAAGGTGTAGTTCAGCATCCTACCTGCCCATCACAATGAGCCGCTGCTGTGCCACTAGTCCATGCCAGCCATGGGGGATGGGGGGGAGGGGCGGCGCAGAACTTGGCCTTGGGCAGCCACCCCCGACTTTCCCACTGTGACGTGGCAGCAGTAGTGGTTCGTTGCAGTGGGCAGACAAGCACAGCAGCTACTCAGTGCACTGTATTGTGCGCTGTCCCGTGTGGGCCCAGTTGCTGGTGGCTGTGGTACGCAGAGGGATAGAGTCTGCACTACCCGTGCCATCCCACCTGCAGTAGAGCAGTGCCATGGGGCACAGCCATCCCTCATCAGCTCCCAGCAGCGGGCCAGATAGGATCAATTGCCTTCCCCCCACCTCCTAGCCCTCAACAGCTGACGAAGACTCCTTAACTGGCCCTCCAGCCCAAATAATTTCCTACCCCTGGTGTAGAAAGAATCAGAAGGATGAGGTTGGACAGAGACATGCATTGCTAGGGTGGAGAGACAGAGATTTGAGCATCACAGCAAAATAACAACTGAATTGGTTTCAGTGAATAAACTTCACAAAAATCAAATGTGCCTTTGAAAGAATGTTGGGTTTTTATATAGCAAGGTGCCAATTTTTACCCCCTCCCCTCCTTTTAGCTATCAGATAAGGCTTTACATTTGCTGGGTCTATATAAAACTCATGAATTGCTAGACTGACATTTATTAATCTAATATGAACTCAAAAGTCATTCTAAAATAAAGTGAACACTCTCTATTACTAGAACCATAGCATTTAAAACCTTTTTTTTTGTTCATTTTGTAAGTGATTAATCGAAAACTGATTGAAGCCCCATGGAATTCAGTCTGTATTTTTTCCATTGCCAGCAGTAGAGTTTGGCTTGGGGCTTTGATGTATAACAGCAATTATTAAGTAAAGGAAAAAGAAACATTTTGGGGTTAAGCGTAAATGATTATGTAACACTCACATCTACCTCCTTCCTAACTTCTGCAGTTCTTAGTGTATATAATGGTGTATTATTTTGGAAGATTTACCCATCAACCTGTTCTGCAAATATTTGTTTATATCAGAGGTTCCTTTGAAATTCAGCAGTTCTCAGGCCACTGCTACTAGATGCCAAAAATCAGTCAAAATTGCATAGTTTCATAGTTTCTAGGGTCGGAAGGGACCTGAACAGATCATCAAGTCTGACCCCCTGCCCTGGGCAGGAACGAGTGCTGGGATCGTAATACCCCAGCCAGGTATCTATCCAACTTCCTCTTGAAGACCCCCAAGGTAGGGGAGAGCACCACCTCCCTTGGGAGTCCATTCCAGAGCCTGGCAGTCCTAACGGTAAAGTAATGCCTCTTGATATCAAGCCTGAACCTACTCTCAATCAATTTGTGGCCATTATTCCTTATTATCCCAGGTGGTGCCTGGGGGAACAGTGCCTCGCCTATTTTCTGCTGGTCCCCCCTGGTGAATTTATAGACGGCCACCAGATCCCCTCTCAGTTTTCTCCTGTGGAGGCTGAATAGATTCACACCCTTTAGTCTATCTTCGTAGGGCCTGGCCTGCTGCCCCCTGACCATGCGAGTGGCCCTCCTCTGGACCCTCTGAAGGTTAGCCACATCCGTCTTGAAGTGTGGTGCCCAGAACTGGACACAGTACTCCAACTGCGGCCTGACCAGCGCCGCATAGAAGGGCTGATTGAAGCCCCATGGAATTCAGTCTGTATTTTTTCCATTGCCAGCAGTAGAGTTTGGCTTGGGGCTTTGATGTATAACAGCAATTATTAAGTAAAGGAAAAAGAAACATTTTGGGGTTAAGCGTAAATGATTATGTAACACTCACATCTACCTCCTTCCTAACTTCTGCAGTTCTTAGTGTATATAATGGTGTATTATTTTGGAAGATTTACCCATCAACCTGTTCTGCAAATATTTGTTTATATCAGAGGTTCCTTTGAAATTCAGCAGTTCTCAGGCCACTGCTACTAGATGCCAAAAATCAGTCAAAATTGCATAGTTTCATAGTTTCTAGGGTCGGAAGGGACCTGAACAGATCATCAAGTCTGACCCCCTGCCCTGGG